TGAACAAGTAAAATTAAACTTCAATGTATTAGTCGAAGATAGTAATAAATTAAAAAGTAATGCTCAGAGTATTGATAATGTTGAGAACATGTCACAATTGTAAGTATATGTTTCATAAAATTGTATATGTATGTGGTATGTAGAAATTAGTCATACTTTTATTTTATATAGATACAATGATGCAATGAACGTATATGAACTGCATAAGAAGGAATATCTTCATAAGTGTGCTAAACCAATAGAAATGGTGAAGATAATTTTTAACCTTTTAAAGGTCAGAGAACAGTTATTATATCATGAAAATCTTCATAGGATCATAAAGTACGTATACTCGAAAATTCTCGTATATATTTAAATATTTATTTATAATTCATTTAAGAGATAGTAAATAATTCTTATATAGACAAACAGAAGAATTAGAATATAATATCTTAACATTGGAAAGAATTTTTGATTCCGTTACTGTTATGGCATCACGATATCGTGATGTTCTCAAAGAGAAAATAAATACATTTCCAGTAGAAAGTAATGAAGTTACACATCGTTCAGAAGTCGACGACATTGTATCTGACAATTTAGCAATGCGTTATGCGTAAGTTTATTTACCTTTATTTCATTACCAATTATAACAATGATAAGCAACAGTTTCCTCTTTTATCCCAATAGATTCGATAAACTTTTGGGTAAAATGCCGGAAATGTACAAGGAAATAGCTAGTTTGGAACCATAATAGCAACAGTTAAGATACTTATGTGTTTATATATGTACAAAATTTTATTATGTTTAAATGGAAAATATTAATTTTTTTATATAACTGAATGTATTAAAGATAGTTTTTGTTTTGTTAATATTTTTAATCTACTCTAATATTTTTTTGGTACTTTTGGAACATAATGTCGCACTCCCCATTTAATGTTGGCTTGTTTATCTGTTTTGAGAAATGTATAAACGGGTCCGTTGTTTGTATTCTTCCATCTCATTAACTTTCTGGATGATCTTAGTGGATCTATAAAATAGGTATAATTAACTTTTCTAAATTGTACACATATATCTCAAGCCAACATGAATTTTGAACAGAATATTTAAGAAAGAAAATTAAAAAGAACTGATTATTTATACATGTGTGTAATAAACAGTGTATTATTTTAAATGTCCGGCATACCTCCATTGGAGATAGCACATAGTGCAATGTATAGATGTAAATATATAAAAATATATTTCCGTAACACCTGTGAAAAAATTGATTTTTAATTAAAAATATTCACAATGACACAAAAACATATTAATTTTTAAAAATATATACTCACATTATAGATATTCGTCAGTTTGAAATTCATTGTGTTCACCACAGAAATTAGATATTGACTGTACCGTAGTGGTGCAGTACCATCGATTTTATTCTTTGAATGTAGCAAAAAATTTTATGGATGATTGAATATGTAACACAGAAATATTTCTATTAAACTTTCACCCATAGAAAACATAACAGGTGTACTAGAAAATGGCAACTATTTATTTTATGATATATTTTATTAAAAAATTGTATACACATCCTAAACTGAGGAGTAAACAACAATGTTAAAATAAATATTATGATTTTTATTTGCTATTACTTTCTCTGCACTGAGAAATCTTACACACCGTACTATTTTCCTAGATTGTCCACATACATTAACGATTATGCAATTCCACGTATAAAAGTTCATTGTACATTAATTTCAGAAGTAAAAAAGACAGGAAATAAGATTGTTTTGAATATCGTTTGTTCAATCTTTCTGAGAGAAATTTCAGAGATTGAAGAATAGATTAATTTCAGGAGTAAAAAAACAGGAAAATGAGATTGTTCTGAATATCATTTGTTCAACCTTTCTGAGAAATAGATATTATTCGTTATCACTGATGTCCTCATCAGTTGTGAATTCGGAATGTTCGTCAGCTGCATCAACATCTTCTGCAGTTTCTTCATCTGAAATATCCCACTGAGGATGTTCTGTAAGTACTTCTGGTGCTTCTTTCACATCCAACTACAAGTATTTTTATGATAAGAATACACTGATGTATATTAGATGAAATTATTGTTCGTAATAAGAAAACAAATAAATGCATTCACATACCTTAATATTTTGAGCTTGATCAAAGCCGAGATACGAGTCACTACGTAAACATACAGTAAACGTATAAACACCTGGCCACTTTGGTGCTGCAAACTTCAACTGAATTTCTTCAGAATGTGCTAATGACTTGACAAAAATAGGAGGTGTCAGTAAAGTCTGACTTTTGCGATCACATATGTAAAGCCACCAGTATTCCTGTTTAACATCTGGAAAGAGGGGGCAGTGTACTTCATGTGATAAATTACTCCTTCCCTCCAAAACTTTTTCTCTCTTAGAAATCCTTTGCTGAAACCTATATAAACGTATGAATAAGTTAGTCACTTTTCATGATATATAATCTAAGCATAAATCTTTACCTTTCCCACTCTGTATCGTCATCATCAACGGATACATCTTTCTTATCATGACTATCTTCATCATCACTCCTGTCGCTGTCAACATTACTGTCACTAACATCGGATAGTTTATCTTTGGAAGACTCTTTTTCTACTTTATCTTCTTTTTTCTTTGCATTAGGAATATTTGTTTTTTGAGCATTCTCATTTCCAGACTGTGACTGTGCATTTTTTACAGCAGCAGACTTTTTACTAGTGCCCTTTTTGTGAGATCTCTTTTGTCCTTTCTTTTGTCTATGCCATGCAGGCTTCTTTACAACTTGATTTTGTTCTTCTGGTACTTCTTCGGGAGCATCACCACTCCCAACTTTACCATCATCAATCATTATTTGTTCTTTGACAGTATCATCTCCAAACAAATGTCTCATATCTTTGCGAGTTAACGATACTGTCACGGTTACGATAGCACCGACGGTATAAACTGTGGGGTTTTCATCATCAATGACTGAAAACATAAAAAAAGTTATTACATTTAAAGAAAAAAGAATCTTACAAAGGAAATATTTATATCATACAATAAATGTCATATGAACTATACCTTCGGATCGTATTTTGAAGTCTACGTATGGCATACTTCCAAGAACTTTCATAACATCTTCATATTCACTGTCTGATAAATTTCTAAGGATCAGTCTTGTTTCTTCTCCTTTCAATTGTGCAAATTGTTGAAGACTCCTGATTTGATGCTATTAAATTAAAATTCACGTACGTTAAAGATTTCTAATTACAGCATGTAAAGAAAGATAACGATAATCTGTTAAATACGAAAACAATAATTTCAATTTTATAAAAAGATAACTTTACCTTCTTTGCTAAGAAACATTTCAAATTATCTTCAGTTATATGTGGTAATTGCAAAAGAGGATTTTTAAATTCCCAAAATCCTTGTACTAGCATAGGACATAATTTCATACAATTTTCTATAGTCTTTATACTGGGTACTTGTGGAACTGGAAAAAAGTATATTTAAATTTACATTCGTTAGTGTATCTTGTATTAATTTATTTTAGTATTTATATTTTATTGATGTGTACATACCTCTCTTAGCATAAGCTAGTAGAATTATTCTATTAACGCAAGTAACCATTTCTTGAATTAAATAAGGACATTTTTTTAGTATATATTGTTTATCTTTTTCCAACGTTTCAGGATTTAGCGGTATGCGAGATAAATGCGCATGAAGTAAAGCTCTAGCTTTAATTGAATATGAATTGCATAATGGTTCCTCCCTGTTTTTTACCCCTAGTAAGGGCAATTGTTTAATAAGCTAAAAATGAAGAATCATTTTATGCTATTTTGTTAATTGTTCGATTGGGAATGATAAATAATGAAATAAAAAATTTTATACATGCAATTACATATAGATACTCACGATAGTATTCAACTGCCTTTTTAAAATTTTTTTTTTAAGATATTAGAGGGACTAGTTTCTTAGACAATGGCTAAAAAATTGTTTTAAAAAATTGCTATTGGTTGGGATGATACAAAAATTGTTTTTCCAATTTTTTTATCTGAGCCTATTATGAAAATTTAAAAACTGCGTTTTGTAAATATGCAACTTATATGCATACTGAAAATTCCATCGAAATCGATTAACGTTGTTATGAGCTACAAACAGTTAAAGATAGCGATAATCGCAAGTTTTCACAACTTTCGACTGATAACTACAAGAAATCTCGAAATTTTGACATCTTTTAATGCCTGTAGCTTGTTTCTGCGTCAACCGATTTATATGAAATTTGCAGCATGCTTATAAATTACCACAATCTCCAAAATGCATTTTTTAAATTTCCGTATAGGTCCAGATAAAAAAGTTAGGAAAACATAATTTTTTAAAATCTTGTTATCATCCTTACCAATTCCAATTTTTTTATCATTATATAATAAACTAATCCCTTTAACATCTCACCAAATTTAGATTGCTTAGCCCAATTATAAAAAAGTTACTCTATTTTAAAAGGTGTACAAATACTTTCATGAGTATATGTATATAGAAAAGAATATAACTAGAAGTAATTTCAGTACACGTAAAATAAATATTAAACATTTGTAGAAATACTATAGTTCTTGTCTTACCGAATGAACTTCATCATAGTCTGTATGTCTTTCAACTATTTCTGCATTTAGTTCTTTACAAAATTCAAAGGAAGCAGCAAGCACCATGATTACTCTTTTCAGTGACATTAATGATGTTTTCAGAAAGAAGCAGTAATGCATTTTTGATGTTTCCAGTAACACCTGAGTGGAAACGATATGAACATTAACTTCTTTAATTAATATTGTGATATGTTTTTTAAATTCAATTTATATTTACTTGATCATCAGTATAACGATTGCTCTTATACCACCACATTCCAACAGCAGTTGGTAAAGCAATCATAAATACTAATGAATATAATCCCAAAACCCATACAGAATTTTCTTTCTCAACAATCCAAGATGGTAAAGCTATTCCAAAGCTCATTGCTCTTGGACCATCTGGATTTCCATACTTTTCCCAATTTCTTCGTGCTTCCTCATCTGTTAATGCCTGATAAGCTAGTAATATAAAAATCAATAATCATTATCTTTAATAATATCTAGAATATAACATCTACAAGTGGTATTACTAATATAATGTAATATATATTATTACTCATGAAAAATATATACTTGATTGGGTTATATAACTAACTGCCAGTATACAAGCACACATTTGTGTTAGTAGTTGATAAGTTTTATATTATTTTAATCTAATATTAACCTTTGGTTAGTTTCATAAATGCTTTATCATTTCCAGTCTCTTTATCTGGATGAAGAATCAAAGACTTTTTACGATAAGCCTTTTTAATGTCACTTTGTGATGATAGCTGCAAATAATTATAACATTACGAGTACAGATATG